TCAGTGACTTCTGTAGTAAATTTATTTCACTGGATTTCATTTAGGGGTATCAGAGTAAAGTAGGGTGAACAAAAGTATTATTAGGTCAAGATTGAACTATCTGTTTATAGACTCTGTTGTATTTTTGCAGGAAGCTGTGCTAAGTTGTGACCGCCTAAATTTTAAAGGAGATCTATTTTGCAAAATTCACAATTTGCACCTTTTTGTCCTTCGGTACTGTCGGTACTGCTTCCAAAAACAGCCCAATCCCTTAAAAAAAAAACCGCCCAGACATTTTTTGGCAATAAGTTAATGTTTTTTGGTGCCTGGAAAATGAGTCGTTTCAAAATCCTCCTGATTGTTGCGTCACAATCCACCGCCACTGTGTCGTTAACCAAAATAGCTGTGCTATTTTTGGTTTCTGTACAAATGGCTGCTTGAAAAGACAAGTGTTTTATTGTTGATTTAACATTTAGAAACCACTTACTGCTTTCTTGTTTGTTGTGCAGGAGGCTCCATTTCTGCTTTTCAAAGATGTACGGTTGTATAATTGTGCTTTTGTTTATAGCCATTTCTGCTTGTCGGTGTAAACATTGAGTTGTGGGTGTGGCCAGCAGCAGCTTGTTAGGATTTAAAGTGACAAGAGTTCCTAAAGTGGCTCATTCTGAAATGTCCAGAATTAACCAGTCTGAAGTCTCATTACCTAAGAATGATTTTGTGGAAAAACTGTAATGAACATGTTTTGTATAGGCCATAGACTAAACAACTTATTCAAGGAAGAATAATAAGCCTTTTAAGTCTTTTTATGGGATTTTGGCATGTCATATTTTTTATCTTCTGCCACAAAAGTTTGAAGCTGTGCTATTTTTAAAAATCCCACCTGCTGTGTCTTTTTTTTTAAGTCAGGCTCAGATATTTGTAGCAGAAAGGCGTGGATGTTGCCAGCTGCAGCTGTTGCTACACATGTGACTTCATTTCCGATGCCTGGCTCTGTCATGAAGGATGCTCATGTTGGAAACATGCAGCCACCTAACCCCTAGGAAACCTGAGGTCACTGTTGCTCTCCTCCGCAGCAACGCCAGGTGACAGGCAGGTCACGTCAGAGCTAACCAAGGTCAGCCCACTTGCAGTGGGGGGTTGAGTTGCTGCCTTCAGCAACCGTCCTTCCGTGCTTTTCTGTTTCTCTCTTTGTGATAACGTGGGAAATACTAATACAGCTTAGTGTTCAGTTTTCTTTTAGAAAGGCCAGAGCTCTGCAGAATATTTGAGTTCTCACACACCCAGCTGTTGGCAAAACATGCAGCCTGGAGTCCAGTTTCCTCCTGAAGACGTCAAGCTTGTCTCTGAGGCACGGCCGTGTCCTTCACCTCCCTGGAAAGCTCCTGTTTCAATGTTGCAATCCCAAACAAGCTAAACACAGTGTAGCATGTAGGCTGATAAAATCAGCCTTTTCAAGATTCATGCAACTTGATTTTCTGCCTTCCTGAATGTAGGAATTGTTTGTTTCCCTTTATTTTCTTTCCTACACTGCAAAAACAAAATCTTACCAAGTATTTTTTGGCTAAATTTTAGTGAAAATATCCTGGTGCACTTAAAATAAGACCGAAATTAACTTACAAGTAACTTTTCAGAATTATATAGGAGTTTGTTTTTAAGTCAGTAGTTCCTTAATATTGATGAAAAAAGTACTAGCTGTGAGTGAAGTAGCTTCCCAGTGGAACTAGACATTTTAAATGTGGGTTTAACTAATTTTCCATATTTTCCAAATTAAGGAAATCAGGGCCGATTTCCTTAATTTTGGAAATCAGTCCTGATTTCTTTAATTTTGGGAGATTGGTGATTGACTGATTATACCATATTCAGGACATCACCTGAGTTATAAAACATATAATGTTACTTACATATAATGTACATTATATGTAGATAACCACATATAATGGTTAGCTACATTATATCTAGATATAATGTACATAATATTATCTACTACACTATATATGTAGATAACATATACTGGTTATCTAGCATTATATGTGGTAATATGTAATATTGTTCCACTTGCAGATTATTTGAGTTTTGTAGTAGCTAGTTACACGTACTCTGTTACATCTACTTGAGTAACTTTTTTTAAAAGGTGTACCTTTAGGAGTGTTTTACTACGCTGCACTTTATACTTTTACTTGAGTAATTTTACTATGAAGTATCTCTACTCTTACTTGAGTAAAATTTCTGAATTTTTGACCCACTGAATAAAAAATGTTTTAACCAAAAATTCACCAGATACAGAGACACACACCTGCAGTTTTTGATAAAGTTTTATAAGCTATTTCTTGAAAGAAACTGATTTGGAAAAAATAATTTTTGTCACTTTTATGAATTATTGTCATTTTTGTCCTTAAAATGGCAAAATTTCCACTGAACTTCATATTTTGATCCATCTTACGCCATTTTTAAATAGTAAATGATTACTACCAAATACTTTTACCAAATACTTTTTACTCTTACTTGAGTAATTTCTTGGATGACTACTTGTAGTAGTGCTACTCTTACTTTAGCTCTGTTCACATATATCTTGTACTTCCTCATCAATATTAAGGAGTTATTCACTTAAAATAAGCTCCCATATCTTATTGAAAGTTACTTGTAAGTTAGTTTTGTCTCGTTTCAAGTGTAATAAGATATTTGAACTTGAATATGGGGAAAAATACTTGGTAAGATTTCATGTTTCTTCAGTGAGAGATGAGTTTTCAGCCCATCCCATTGCAGACGGTTATTAAACCCCATCAGAAAGCTTGATTGCTAATTTGTGAAAGTCTCCCCGGGTGAATCAAACATTTTTGCCGTCGGATTGTCGGATGATCTGTCCAGGGAATCCTAGAGGTGGCCTTTTGGCAGCCAAAGATAAGCGATACGTTTTAAGCTCCCAGCGGTCATGTAATCCTCATGCAGCTCATGCAGCTGCTAAACTAATCTCGCAGTTTACTTTCAGAGTAGATAGGATCACATAAAACTGCACACTGGCTAAGTTGCTAGACATTCTCCCAGATCTGGTTGCCAAGCATGCAGTGTATTAGTGAAACATGAGGAAATGCATTATAATGCAGCTCAGAGGTTGCAGCTTCATGCAGACGGCGCTGAGGGAGAGAGAGTTTGTTTGCAGTCTGCAGCGGTTCACCCCGGGTACAGGAGTTAGACGTCGGAGGCTGGGGGAGGGGAACGATGAGATTATGAGTGATTTTATGTAATGAGGGTTTTCAAAGGAGGCGGGGGTAAACAGAAAAGTTCAGGTGGGCCGGGTTCACAGCTGTTGAGTCCTAAGAGAGCAGTGGGATTTATTTTAGATAGAGTTATGTGACTTGATGCTCCGTCTTCAGAGGAAGAAATTAAAGAGGTATTAATTTAATGCTGATCACTGTGTAGCTTGAATCTCATCTAATAATATTCACACAGCCAAATGATGAATTAATGACATAAAATACCAGTGTAATTGGGTTATTACACAGTAAGACGTCCTCTCCCAGCCAATAAATGCATCAGAACTTAAAGTCCTGCTTTCTTAAAACTGAAAATGCATCAACATATTTTTGATTGAGACAATATGCATCAGATCAGCTTTTAATGAATCACTGTTATCCTGTTTTGTTATTTTTTTTACAATATTTTTTATGATTTGGTTTGATTCCTATAAAAGCGCTATCCAAAAAAAGTCCAAATTGTTATTTTTTCACGTATAATCCAGAATAATTTTATAACTCCTTTATTTTAAAATTACCTCTACCAAAGGTAAAGTTTCTGAACATATATTTTATAACCAGTTTTAGTTCAATTTAATTTCTGAATTAAAATTTACTCCAATGAGTTTGTAACTGTCGTCATTCTTGGAAAGAAAACTGTCCAAAATTATAACTGGCAGGTCAAACCTGGAAAAAAAAAAAAAAAAAAAAAGAGGAATTGATCAGGCAGTGAGAGGCTGATTGGTACATCTCTAATTAGCATCAATTTATTGATTCGTTTAACATTTCATCTGATGGATTTAGTGGCTTCGATTTCTGTGAAAATTCAATGCAAATATTCCATGAAAAAAATCTTCTAATGCTGTTCTTGTTGTTATATATATTTAAACATAATAGCTGGTTAATTTTTTCATCCATGTTGTTAACTTGATTTATGAGCATCAGAGTAAAGGGGGCTGAGTACAAGTGAAAGTCTCACTCGAAATGTTTGCTTTAATTTCAGAGTTGGAAATACTTCAGGACTGTAAATTGTGGCTGAAACAATTACGGTAATCAGATTAATGAATTAATGAATCATGATGAATCGATTATTGAAATAACTGTTAATAATTTAGTAGTCAATATCATTAAAGTACACAGATTTAAAAAAGGCAAATTGCTGAAAAAACAGCATATTCACAGCAGTAAACTGCACAAAAATTATATACATTTGTCATTTAAAATAAAAAAATCTTTTGTCTGTAAATATATTCTACCCCAAACTACTGAAGTGGCACATGCTTAGCTCCACCTGGTTAACATTCAGTAAAAATATCTCTGATTAAGAATCTTTTGCTATTTAATTATTAATTAGTTTATTTAAAAAAACAGTCTGTATTGTATTGATGCTAAATTGAGCAGAAACAGCTGAGCTTTTTACATGTTCATGTAATTATATTTTAGCTGCAGATGCTTCTTTTCCTGCAAATAATCAGTCGTACAATAAGGAAATTATGTTTTGTTGTATTTTTAGGAAATAAAATGTTTTTTTTTTTTTTTTTTACTTAAATAAGGAATTAAATTATTTATTTGCATTTTCTATCTATTTCTAATATAATATAAAAAGGCTTCATTGGACAAATGAAAAAAAAAATCTGATTAATTGTCACCATAATAAATAGAATAACCAATTACTAAAATAGTTAGTCCTGCTGTAAATATTTGGTGAAGATCCTCATTTTAGACAATTTTTTTACCAGTTGATTTGTTTCCTGCTGTCTTCCTCTGAACGTCTAACCGTGCTGTGTTCAGAAAATGGCGGACAAGACAGCGGATGGGGGGTCATGGACGGGATGCGCCGTCATGTTCCTGCAGTCGCTCTTTCCTGGCGTGGACCTGCTCGCTCTCTACAAAGGCGAGCAGGGGAAGTTCATCATCTTCAAAGTCATCAAGCTGACTCTGAGAGGTAAACCCATCAGCTGGGATCCACCAGGGACGATGCACAAACGCAGGGAGGCTTTTCCAGGCTGTCGCATTAATTAATCAGTGTTTCCCTCGGCCAGATTCTGCGGGAGGTCTGGGAGGCTACGAGATCCTAAAGGTCCATGATGCTGAGCCCTTCCTGGGGGTGGAGGTGAAATTCGTGGATGTGGCAGCATGTCAGCAGTTCCTGGAGAGCTACAGCTCCGGAACGGTGCTCCAGTCCCTCAACCAGCACGCGTGCCGGCTGCTCGGACTTCCCGAAGACTTCACCGTGCGAACCCAGCTGAAGGCCGGGCCTCAGAACCTGGATCTGTGTCTGGACCAGCTGCCTGTCTGTCTGCAGCACATCCACCTTTCACAGGTTGGACCTTTCATTTATTTGCTTCATGTCAGTAGTTCAAGCCAATCCTGTGTAACAAGTTTAAGTAGGGCTGGAGGAGGTAAGTTATCACAATATCTTATGTGATAAGATATCACGATAAGATGTGATATCTTATCAATAACAATTGATTTATAATCAATTATTGATTATAATAATCAATAATTATTGATTATTATAATCAATTGTTATTGATTATAATAGTCAATAATCAATAATCAATAATCGATTATAATAATCAATAATTATTGATTATTATGACATTTATGTCATAATAATCATACTGCCAAACTGGTGAAATGACATTTCTTGTTTTATTCACAGTTTTCACTCCAGGCTGTTGTTTTATTTTTATTATTAAGCAGTTATGAAGCACAGTGGTGAAACTTTAAACTGCTGCTGCGCCAGTTACTCAGCAGGTTGTTGCTAGGAAACCATAGAAGGAATGAGTTGCTAGGTAACCAAAGAGTGAATGAGCCAGTTGAATCCCCCGACCTTGTTTACCTCTCTGTGAGAGGTTGAGCTGCTAACACCTTTTCTTTGCCTACATCTCCCAGAAGGCTGTGCTGCTGAAATTATTGAACATCTATCAGCTGTATTATCAGAATCAGAATTCCTTTTATTGTGATTGAAATTGTCATTGTGCACGGAAGAAAGCACTACATTTTGAAAATAGCAAGTGAAATAATTTTATAGAAATACTAATAAGAAGTATATTTCAGTAAATATGGTAGAAACACACAGAAGTAACTGGGATGTTAAGGGAAAATAAATAAATATTGATCAGGTTTTTAGCTTAATTAGCTGTGTTCTGGTCAACAACAGCTCTTGGTAGAAACTGTTTCTTACTCTCTTACGAACGCCTCCCTGATCTATTGTTGTTGACCACATGTCTATTGATATGTATACATTGTCCAGCCCTAAGTGTAAGTGTTGATGTGTGTCAGCCGGAGCGCCTGCGTGACGAAGAGATCGATCATCTGGAGCAGCAGCTGCAGAGCCAGGCGCTGGGTCCGGCCCCGCAGCCCCCCACGGTCACACAGGAAGAGTCTCCAGTGCCCAGCAACTGCTTCAAGTTTCAGAACAGAGTGTTTGGTGAGTACAGGCAACACAATCAGAAATATTTTTTAAGAAATGGTTGGTTCTGCGCATTTTTAGGCAAATTTTGAAGAGCCATTGTGGAAGGTCCAAAGAGTTTGATTTATTCATATGTCTGTTCATCCACTCTCTGGTTTTGCTCTTTGCTTATTGAAAGTCTTATTGTGGTGATCACATCCGCAACAAATTCATTGTCAGGTTTTTCAGTAATTACTTTAATATTAGCTTATAGTTGATTGAAAACTCAAAAATATCTGGAAAAATCTATGAAAGCTGTTCATTTTTTTCTACTTTTCACTACTATCCAATGTGTCAGAGTTGGTTTTGGTCTCCATTTGGGAGCTTCTTTATGTGTCTCCATGTTCCCAAACTAACTTCCTAATACGTAACAAGCTGTCAGGTTCATGTTTCCTGAAGGCCACCATTTTTGATTAAATACTGAGTTTGGTGCCGTTTCCAGCTGACTCTAATCCATCTGATTGCTACCTGTCTGTGGTGAGAGATTAGTTGAAACAGACAAAATGTGCTGTTCATGTTTGGGTTGATTTCATAGTGGCTCACCCGAATTTCACATTAATTTGTAGCTTACCTTTAAGCCTTGGGATGTTACATAAAACATGACTCCCCATTAGAAATATAAAATCATTCAGCCTGTTTTTTGCTACAACTTCCTAATGGATGTGGTTGCTCTTATTTTGTAAGATAAAAAATCTACATTTCTTAAAAACAGAGCGTGCATTTCCTTATTACCAACACCCAGTGACTCACAGACGGTGAGAGCTTCTCCTCCACCGTCTCTCAGCCCTTTCAGCTGGTTGTTTTGCTTTTGGCTTGCAGGCCTGCAGCTACTTGTTTGATTTGTTTTCTCATAAGAGTTAATTGCAGCTGCTCTCCTCTGAGCACCGACTGCTTCGCTCCAAACAGACCCATAGCCTCTAGCTGATGAACACAGGCTACCAGTGTTGTGCTTTGCAGATTTGGCATCTTTAGTTTTTGTTCATAGAAGAGGCGCATATTGATTTTCAGTGTATTTTTTGCCCTGGTATTACATAAAATCGCTGTTAAAGGGTGCAGCTGAAACTACATTATCAATCCATTGAGCAGATTGTAGCTGTAAAGTGGAGCAGATGTCTTCTTGTGTTAGCCACAACCATCTCCCTTTGCCATAAAATCACTATTCGGGATGTTGCAGGCTGAAGTAACAGTTTTCTGGATCATCAGAAACTTCAAGGCTACAGATTCATTTGCCAGAAGGAGCTTCAGAGAGTCCGAAAAGCACCTGGATGGGTCAAATGAGGAGGATTTCACAGAATGATGCTCAAGTTTGGTAGTAAAAATCACAGTGAAGTAAAGAAACAGAGTGAAATTTAACAGCAGGAGGACAGAGGCTGGAGCAAAGTGATTTTCTCTGATGACTCATCCTGTTTGTTTGGGACATCTGGGAAATCATTTAATGGGAGAGCAAAAGATGAGATCTACCGCAGTCCATGTGCGGTTGCGTCTCATTCAAGGAAGTGGGCTTGTTAAGACTTACCCCAAGAAGAGTCGAGTGAATCAAGAGTGATACAAAAACCTCCATGAAGAGCAACCTTTTATATCAACATAGGCTCTGTTTGGTGACCATCTGTGTATTGGCTAGCATGACGGAGCATCTGTCTGTATTCTCCAGCTATTGATTAATCAATTACTAAATTGAGACATAGTGACTAATCGTTTCAGTCCTACTTGAAGCATTTCAACATAATGTAACAGATGCACAGCAATGCTACCCTCTTATGAAATAGAAATTTTAATTTGTAAAGTATTCTGGGAAAAGTTTGATGTTTACATAATCATGCTAAGTAGAATTTACATTAATGTTTGGGGTTTTTTTTCCCCCTCTCTCTCTCTCTCTTGGCGTTTCATCCTTTGGCTCACCAGAGGACCGAATGCTGACAGCGGCAGATGTTCAGAGCTTTTCGAACGGAGTGGGCCGTCAGTGGAAACACGTAGGAAGGGCCCTGGGGAAGAGCTGTCGTGCTCTGAAGGGCCCCGCCATTGACAACCTGGCCTACGAGTACGAGAGAGAAGGGCTGTATGAGCAAGCCTATCAGCTGCTGAGCCGCTTCATTCAGGCGGAGGGGAGGGCGGCCAAGCTGAGCCGACTGGTCAGAGCTCTGGAGGACAGCAAACTCACCAGCCTGGCTGAGAACATGCTGGGCATGCAGCCCCGAGAGTAACTCTGTGTGCGAGCTTTAAGACCCAAACTGAGGGACGGGCTCCTCTGTGGGAGTGGAAACGTTTCCCTGACGCTTTTTTACATTCAGAGTAGCTCTTCCCGACTTTCCCTCATGTTTGAATCAGAACCAAGTGTGTGTGAATGTGTGTGAATTCACAGTTTGTGTGTGCGTGTGTGTGTGTTTGTGAGGGAGGGAAAGAGATTCAGATCAACATTTGTAATCTTTTGTTTATTTGAAGTAATCTGTCATCACTGTTAAAAGAAAATGCAATCTGGAGTTTAATACACTGTGCGAACCGTTTTTATCGTGTTACAGATTGAACCTGTTGGGTCCTGCTTCCAGTGACAACACAAATTAAGGATATTGATTTTTTTTTTCTTCTCGATAAAATGGGTTCTAGCAAATTAAATGGTTGTGGAAAGAAGGCTTATGTTTCTGTTTGATGCATTAGTGTAATTAAAACTGAAAACACAATTTTGTCTAAATTCCCTCAGGTGTAATTTGGTGTTAATCCTTCCCAGTTCGCCACCATCACTCAGTCACTCACACACGTGCACATTCTGCCTACGACTGAATTAGTGATGGCCAGTGTTGCTGCTGAATGTGTGTGTATGTGGGTGTTTGAGTCTCACTGTTGGACCTTCATGGCCGAGGTGTGTGTGTGCGTGTGCGTGTGTGTGTCTGTCTGTATCTTACCATGCCAACCATAGATCAGATGGACGGACAGGGTTGGCTTCAATCCCCTCCACTCTTCCTTGCTTCATACTCTGCTTGACCGTCCATCCAGATGTGATGGCTGGATTAGAAGCTTTTATCACGCACACTTTTTACAGCTTTATGGTATGGGCACAAACTCCAACATGGACAAGCAGTCGTTGGAAGTAACTAGATTATTTTTACTTTAGAAACAGCAGTGAGAATGCTGATCTGCTTAAAGAATGCACCAAAGGATAATGAGGAGAAAGACGGAGCTGAAGAGAGGTAAAACTGAAGAAAGATGAAGAGAGAAACAGAGCAGACAACAGCTCAAGAGAGACAAAAAACTGGAGAGCTGAAGAGGCAAAGCTCTTCAGCTAAAAACAGAGGCAGAGGTGAAGAGAACTGAAGAGAGGTGAAAGAGAGACAGAGCTGAAGACAACTAGAGAGAAAAAACTGGAGAGGTGAAGAGAGACAGAGCTGAAAATGTGTATTTGGAGCTCAGTGGAGGAAGGGGAGCCTGTGCCCATGAATTGTTTTAAAGAAAACCGTAAAACATACAGCAACAATGCTTATATTCCCTCAAACCAGACGCTTGGTTTTGATGCATAAATTATTTCTACAGAGTGTAATTTGTACAAACAGCAGGATTTTTGTTTGCGAAAAATCTAATTTGAAAAAGTTTCAGTTACAGTAACACACATTGGCAGTTTGCATTACACTGTAAAGCAGAAAAAACTGGCATAAAACTTAAATCGTGATGTTTTTTAACAATCCATAAGAGATATCAAAAAGCTAAATGTCTTGTGACTTGTTTAGCACATACAAGTGCACTTAAATAAGTATAAATGTAACTGAAAGGTTTATTATGTCAGTAATTGTACAGTACATTTTTGCAGTAATTCATGCAAAAGGAGCCCTGACCAAGTATTCCATAATGTACTGTAATAAACCTACTTTTTCAGTCAGCTCATATAAATGCAAAATTGATTTTATTTATCTTGTACATTAGAATAGCAGTGATAAATCCTTAAGTTGTATCAGATTGTTTAATGTAGATGAGGGTTTTTTTTTAAATATTAGCTTTTCAATATTTTAATTAATTTCAATGTACTTTATATTTTTTAGATACTTTAGCTTTACAACACTTATAAAATTACAATTTTAAATACAGAAATTTCCTATTATTTAAATTGTAATATATATTTTTATTTTAACGTATAATTGAGAATCAACTGTAATACAGTTTCTGATTACAATATTTACTTTTTAATGTTACATTGTAGTTTCTCAGCTCCTATTACACCACATAACATAAGCCGAATTAACCCCAATCATTAACTTAAATTTTGCGTACGCAGTACGTGGATTTCCTGCCATATAATTGACGTAATTAAAGGTTCACTTGGTGCTCCGTGTCCCCCACCGGGTGTTTTTCAGACCTACTTATGTTGTTGACACGATTAAACGTCACCCAGGTGCTGGAGAAAAGAGGACAAGTGACGGCAGTCGAGTTGGGACATTTCAGTTCCATAACGCCGACACGATTTCCACCGATGACACCAGAACACGAAGCGACACTTGCCACTTAAATATTTCTGTCATTTTTAACAATCTTTCACCGGACGTGATTAGAGCTCGGCGGCTCTGACGTAAACCAGATTGTTAGGTGAGTCTCGCGCGGACAGTTCTGGGTATGGCAGGCCAATTTATCATTTAAATACTCAGCGCAAACGTCCGTAATTCAGTTTTCCTTCTCCAAAAAAAAAAAAACTTTCCAAAAATCAATTTTACGTCACAATACTGTTATTTTGTAAGACAAAAGCCACTCTGGATATTTGGACGTCCCGCCATTAGAATTTCCTAGTTTCAGTTGGGAATGGAAATATAAGCTTTAAAAGTAAAAATGTTATTATTCAGATGGATTTAAATTCCCTAGTTAACTGGGATAATTTCTTGGATTCCAGAATCCAAGAAATTATCTGGGACTATGCTGTGAAACCCAGATCATTTCTCGGATTTTATCTTTATGGGATGAATGGCCTATGGTGCCATTCATCTAAGCACTGCCAGTGTTTGATAACTTCTGACTTTTCTAGAAGTCAGAAGTTACCAGTTAACAAGAAAATATCTGATGATCAGATATTTTGATCTGATCATACTTTTAAGAGTATTTTTTTAACAGTGCTGTACTTTTTACTTTTACTTGAGTAATTTTATTATGAAACATAATATTTCTGAATGCTCAACCCACTGTGAGTAACGTTACTGAATGAAGAACAAGCTTGTTTTAACCAAATGAAATAACCAGATATAGACACACACTTGCGGTTTTTGTTAAAGTTTCTTAAATTTTATATTGAAAGAAAATGATTTGGATAAATTTTTCTTTCCCTCGATTTTGTTATTTTGTAATTTATATGAATTATTTTCACTTTGGTCTTTAAAATACCAATATTGGTCCATGTCATAATTACATTTTTAAATATTAATTGACTGATTGGTTTTAATAAGTTTGAAATTTGATCCTAATGTGACTGTGTTTTCTGTGTTACCAACGATTTTTGTCATATTGTATTCGCAGAAACATGACCGAGTGAGCTCTCTTAACAAGAAACTATCTGTGACGTATATTTCTCCGGTAACCATGTCAACAAGAGTTAGGACAAAGTAAACGGCTCATAAACTCTCTGAATGAACTTTATACGCTTTCTACTTTGGAAAACCTTTGTGTTTGTAAGTATTTATATGTTTGGTAGGCACTTACACTTAATGCTGTCTTTTTTCGTTGATAAAATTTAAATCATTGATATAATTTTTGAGCGTAGCTTGAAGATATGTGTATTATTAAATCATTTCTCATTCTGTTACATTTCAGTTACAAAAACGTTTTGAGCGTAGCATTAAGAGGGTTGTATTAACCAGTAATATTTTTTCCCGTCTGTTGTATTTCAGTTACAGAAAAACACATTTTTAAAAGATCTTCAGTTCAGAAAAACAAGACTTTTTATTATTTGATCACTGGCTGTCAAGCTACACATTGGCACGTGTTGTGAGAACAGCACAAAAAGTATTTTTTACAACTCTATACATTTCACTTTTACTTCACTTGAGTAATTTTATTTACCTGAGTAAAATGTCTGGATTCTTGACCCATTGTGGGTAACTTCAATGAATGAAGTACACGCTTATTTTATTTAAAAAAAAGATCACCTGGCATAGACACACACCTGCAGTTTTTGATAGTTTTATAAGTTTTATATTGAAAGGAATTGATTTGGAAAAAGATTTCTTTCGCCTACATTTGTCATTATTGATATGAATTATTTTAAATTTGGTAATTAAAATACAAAAAAAATCCACATAACTTTCTATTTTGGTACATCTGATGTAATTTTTAATTTTTAACTTTTATAAACTGTCACTAAGTTGTGTCAGTCTTGTGTCTGATAATCTGAAAAAGTTGAGTCGAGGAGAAGCTTGATTTTTTCCCCACAGATTATTTGTCTCAGTTTTAACAAATATCAAAAATAAATATTTTAAGCTACATAGGCCCACTTTAAAACTGCAGTATGTAATGATTATAAAAGTATATTTTACATATTTTTGGAAACTGTCACTATGTCATGACAGTATAGTATGAGACAGGTAATTTGTGAAAAAAAAAATCAAGCTGTTCTTCCTTCTCCTAGCACTCCTAGTGCTATCTAGAAACAACCAATCAGAGCCAGGAGGTGGATCTTAGTACTGTGCTACCTGCAGCTAGCATAGCATATGCTAGCTGCAGGTAGCATATGCTATATTCATAATATGCTATTATGAATGCATAGCCTATTATGCATTCATAATAGGCTATGCTATTATGAATGCATAGCCTATTATGCATTCATAATAGGCTATGCATTCTGTTACAGAAAACTGTTTTTCTGTAACAGTAAGTTCTCCGCCATTAGTACATTGAGTAGCAAGTACATGAGGCTGACTGACACCGCCAAGACCCTCCTCCTGGCTCTGACTGGTTGTTTTTGACCGGGCAGTCCATTTCTTCAGACAGAATAGTAGCTCAGGGAGGAGATAAAAGACATCAATTTTTTTCCACAGATTATCTGTCTCATATTATACTGTCAGGACAGGCTGACAGGTTTTAACAAATATGTAAAAAAGTTACATACTTTAAGTTGCACCTTTAAATGATTCATTTTGTGGTGCTTTTTTTTGGTACTTGAGTAGCCTTTTTGTCTTTTACTTGAGTAATTTGTCGGTTTTGTTGACTTTTTATTTCTACTTGAGTAAAAATATGTTGAAGTAGTCTCACTCTTACTTGAGTACAATGTTTGTGTACTTGTAGTTATTTGTCCTACTGAGCTAAATCACAGCCGCCTGTTTGATTATATGTTACAACGGCCTGCCATACCATCCCGTCTGTGCTTTCCTTGAAAAGATACGCCGAAAGCGCGCAGGCTCGTCATCCTCAGCGCCGCCCTGTAGAGAAAGAGAGAGAGAGACAGAGAGCTGGAGACCCCCTCCCCACCTAACAACCCCAACCCCGCAGGCTCTGTCACAACGACCCCACCCCCTAGCCCCCTCTGAACGAGGGCACGGAGCGACAGGCTCGCATTCGCGGAGAGAAGACCGTTCCGGGATCCCGGCTCTGTTTCGCCCTCAATCCGGGCCCTAATGCTGTAGCGGCCAGCGCGGAGGAGAGAGCGAAGTGAGACGTAACGCAGCGACCGAGAGTCGGCGAGGGACAGGGCGGACTGGGGAGACGACGGGATCGCTCATTCGCCTG